CCTTCCCAGGAAAGGTATAACATCCCTCAGCCTCGAACTTACGTGAACAATAGTGGTTGCTCTCACAAACAACAAACCACTACAAGTATTAGGAAATCATCTCACCCCCATTGAGATAGACTAACCTCTAACACTCTACGGCTANCTTACGTGAACAATAGTGGTTGCTCTCACAAACAACAAACCACTACAAGTGTTAGGAAATCATCTCACCCCCATTGAGATAGACTAACCTCTAACACTCTACAGCTGTGCTCGAATGCAATTCAAGTCCATCACAACAACCATACAAGAGATAAAATAACAAACATTTTCTCAAATCACAAGGAAGCTCAAAATTCCTAAATTTCACAATTTGTGTTACAAGAGAACAATTTAAGAAAAANCAAGTCCATCACAACAATCATACAAGAGATACAATAACAAACATTTTCTCAAATCACAAGGAAGTTCAAAATTCCTAAATTTCACAATTTGTGTTACAAGAGAACAATTTAAGAAAATAAGCAAGAGATCATCAACAATCCATTTTTATTGTTTATTACAAAGCACTAAAGTTTTGAAATCAAGAACAAGGGAAAAATCAATTTCTCTTGGAAACTAGGGTTTGAAGATGAAAAAAAGAGCTTTGNTTACAAAGCACTAAAGTTTTGAAATCAAGAACAAGGGAAAAATCAAGAGAAAAATCAATTTCTCTTGGAAACTAGGGTTTGAAGATGAAAAAAAGAGCTTTGATGGTTACCCAACCATAACATTGTTTAAAACATGGTAGTAAATACAAGAATCAAAGATTTTATAGCATACATATATGATTTAGAGTCAAAAAGTACATATATATGTAAGCTCTAGCTTCAATGTAAGAGANAGAATCAAAGATTTTATAGCATACATATATGATTTAGAGTCAAAAAGTACATATATATGTAAGCCCTAGCATCAATGTAAGAGAAAAAAGAAGAAAACCCTATCTTGAATCCTTAGTTTTGAGTGAAGAAAATGAAGATTTGATCTTTCCCACTTGAATCTCTTGTGTTTTCCCTTCTTTCTTCCTCTCTAAGGTTTCCTAGGGTTAGAAATGTTGAAATGGGGCTAAAGGAGGTGTCTTTAAGTATTTATAGGGCGAAAACAGACCACAGATCGAGACTTAAAATTTTTGGGTTTTACCGAGTGTACCGGTACGGTAAAACCTTTGAGTGTACCGGTACACTGNAGTATTTATAGGGCGAAAACAGACCACAGATCGAGACTTAAAATTTTTGGGTTTTACTGAGTGTACCGGTACGGTAAAACCTTTAAGTGTACCGGTACACTATACCGGTAGTGTTTTTTCCAGTTTTGCCTGTTTCATCTGTTTTTCATTTTCAATCCATTCCAAACCCTTCCAAAACCAACCCAAACTTATACTACATACTTTTGGACATCAAACATAATTGATATAAGTCTTATTTCATATACTTACCCGATTTTTACACTAGTAATATTTTCTGCAGTTATAACCTATATGGTTCATTCTTACGTCATCATNACATCAAACATAATTGATATAAGTCTTATTTCATATACTTACCCGATTTTTACACTATTAATATTTTCTGCGGTTATAACCTATATGGTTCATTCTTACGCCATCACATATATTAAATTACTAAACAATTTATTATTATATTACTATAAACATGTGGGGGTTTACATAATCCCATACACCATGAATCAAAAGTTTATGGTAAATTTCTTCATTATAAGAATATGGTTGAGAACCAACATTCCACCAAACTCAAAAATTTTATGCAATGATGGTGGCGGTGAATTTGTTAATCACCCTATGCATGACTTGTTTACCTCATCTGGATAATTCACCAACTTTCTTGCCGACATACTCTTGAACAAAATGGCATCGCCGAACGCAAGCATCGACACCTTATTGAAACTGCTATAACCATGTTTCATACAACTTCCATGCCTCCTTTGTATTGGCTTGATGCCTTATGCACTACTGTATTCTTGATTAATTGCATGCCAAGTCCTGTTACTAATAATATTTCCCCATATGAAAGGATTTTTAATGCATTGCCAGAGCAAACCATTTTAAAAACATTTGGTTGTTGTTGTTACCCTTGGCTCTGACCCTATAATCAACATAAACTCCAACCTCATTCCCATCGATGTTGTTTTCTTGGGTATTGCTCTTTTTCTAAAGGGTATCACTCTCTAGACGTCCATACGGATCAAGTCTTTATTTCTCGGCATGTTAACTTTGTGGATAACATTTTTCCTTGTGCCAAATGGTCACATACTGCTTCTGGATCATCACCAATTTCTCCCACAAGTACACCTTAGAGATATGTTTATCCTCCCTATCGGTAGTCACCCTCCATACCATCATCCATACCATCTAACCCAATAGAATCTCACACCGCTACAAACATATNACCGCTGCAAGCAAACCCACAAACCATGCTTGCTAGCCCCTTACGTCATTAGGCCAGTCAGCCAGTGGAGGTTGTTGAGGCTCATCCCAATTCCTCGTCAAATCTAACCTTCACTTTTGTGTCTACTCCAGATCCTCAGTTAGCTCCATCCATGGCTGCTTGTAACCCATCCACTCCAAATTTCTTGCCAGACACCATTGCTATTATCGTGAATCAACATTCCATGGCCACCCGATCTAAGACTGGCATATTCAAATAAAAGACTATTATTTTCCCATGCTGCTGAATCCGCTCTAGCTCTAGTTGTTCTTGAACCTACATTATATGCCTAAGCCATCAAGCAAAAAGAATGGAGGGACGCCATGTCTTCTAAGTTCAATGCTCTTATGACTCAAGGAACTTGTACTTTAGTTCCTCCACCTCCTAATCAGACAATTATGGGGTGTAAATGGATTTAAAAACTCAAAACCAATGTCGATGGGTATGTGGCTCGTCATAAAGCTCGCCTGCTCGCTCAAGGATTTAATCAAGAATATGGTGTTTACTACACCAAAAATTTTAGTCCGTTGGTCAAGCAACCTACTCTTAGGGTTACTCTCTCTATGGCATTACATTATAATTGATCCATTCACCAGTTGGATGTTTCAAATGCATTTTTACATGGATTCTTAGATGAAGAGGTTTATATGAGCCAGTCTCAAGGTTATATTGATCACAATTTTCTAGATTATGTCTGCAAAATCTGTAAGGCAATTTATGGCCTCAAATAGGCACCACATGCTTGGTTTGTGACACTTTTCCAATTTCTCATCAAACATGGCTTTCATACTAGCACAGCTGACACCTCTCTCTTTGTTGATACCACTTCTAGTCGAATCACAGTGATTTTAGTATATGTGGATGACATCTTAATTACTGGAAGTGATCCAAGCTTTATTGATTCATTTGTCCATACATTGAGCAACAATTTTAGCATGAAGAACCTTGGACCACTTACTTATTTTCTTGGCATTGAGGTCAAATGAACCTCACATGTTCTCACACTATCTCAGCACAAATATGCTTTGGAGTTGCTTAAGCGAGCTTCCATGCAGTTTGTAAACCTTATTCGTCACCAATGTCTACCAAACCTTCTATTGTACCTATTGATGATAATGTCTTTCATGATCCACCTTTTTACAGAAGTATTGTTGGTGCATTGCAGAATCTTACAATTACTCATCCTGACTTATCATTTGTTGGTAATTGTGTCTGTCAACACATGCATAACCCATTCAACAAACATGTTACTACTGTCAAACGTATATTTCGTTTTGTGAAAGGCACATTACACCATGGGATCATCTTCACCGGTGGACCTCTTGATATCATTTCCTACTCTGATGTCGATTGGGTAGGTAATGCTATTGATCGTCGCTCCACTACAAGATCTTATCTTTTACTTGGGAATAATTTAATATCTTGTTGCACCAAAAAGCAGCCACAGTAGCTCACTCCTCAATTAAAGCCAAAATATGGTGCACTAGCAAACACCGCAGCTGACATTGCTTGCCTCAAAATGATTCTTAATGATCTTTGGATTCAAGGAGCTCGCACATCAATAATATGGTGTGACAACATTTCCACAATCTCACTTGCCTCCAAATCTAGTTTTCCATGCCCGCACAAAACATATGGAGGTGGACTATCATTTCATCTGCAAAAAAGGTTGTTCAACGGGAACTTAAAGTTCGGCATATTTCCACTATGGATCAAATTGTCGATATTTTTACCAAACCTCTGTCATCTGAATGGTTTAATCATCTCAAATCCAAGTTGATGATGGATTTCATCCCCCCTATCAACTTGACGAAGTATATTAATAAGACTTCACCGATTTAATGACTCTGTAAGTTATCTTTATCTTCAAATATTGTTATCTCTTGCTTTAGTTAGTATTCTAATAGTTCTAGGAATGTGTTTAGCTGATTATATTTTGTTTGACATACTTATCTTGTAATTTATTGATTAGTATAAATAAGAACCATATGCATTGGATTCTTATCATCAACCGAGGTTCATTTGATCTTTATCCAGTTGGTTTATTCTTCAAATAGGACATCTAGTATAGTACTAGAAGTAAATAGAGTTTAATAAAAGTTGAAAATTCTAAATTGACTGTGTGTTTTGTAATCAAATTATATAAAAATTATTTTTTTTTTGAATATTCTTATCCTCCTCTATTTCATTCTATTTTATTTTTAATCCTTTTAACTCTAATAAAGTGACATAAGCGCAATTTTTTAATTGGAGTAAACCGAACTTTCTGTCCGTCCGAACATCTTCACATTATCCGGGTTGAAATCTGGATCGCCATGTTTTTTGACTCGAATATGCTGTTCCCTCTCGACGAGCTCCAATTGCATCTGGCAGCATTACGCAGACAAGAAGAGAACGGGAAGGGCACAAATCACTGAACATAGAGAAGGGGAATAAGGGGAGCAAGAGAAAAGGAATAAGCGGAACTTCAACTATAGAGATAACTTTAAAACCAATTGTCTCAATATACAAAGATGCTTTCTTTCGTTCAAAATGTATCGAAGAAATCTATATCCTATTTATAGAAGCTTCTCATGCGTTGCTACTTCGGTGTCCAAGGCTACACACACAAACACACAAATAAACGTAACCTACCCAGGTTGGTTTTTCTTCACAAACAATTTAGAGGAAGTTTTATCGTCCAAACTTGCATTAGTCTTGCAAGCTTGTAATTGTTCAGAGCATTTTGTTATTCAACGAGGCCGACAAATTCATGCCCAAATCATATTGAATGGAATTGACCATGTGGGTCTTCTGGGTACGAGGATTTTGGGTATGTATGTTCTTTGTGGGAGATATTCTGATGGCAAAAACATGTTTGATCAGCTTGAACTGTGCTATGCTTCGCCTTGGAATTGGATGATAAGAGGGTTCACTATAATGGGTCACTTTGATTACGCATTGCTGTTTTACTTTAAGATGTTGGGGTTCGGTACATGTCCCGATAAATACACTTTTCCTTATGTAATCAAAGCTTGTGGTGGTATGAAGGCTGTGAACCTGGGTAAAACGGTTCACAGTACGATTCGAAATATGGGTTTTGAGAGGGATTTGTATGTGGGTAGTTCTTTGATCAAGTTGTATGCAGAAAATGATTGTTTAAATGACGCTCGTTGCTTGTTTGATAGGTTGCCTCAAAGGGATAGTGTTATATGGAATGTGATCCTTAATGGGTATGTGAAACATGGGGCTTCAGATCATGTCATTAACTTGTTTAGGGAAATGAGGAATACTGAAATTAAGCCCAATTCGGTAACCTATGCATGTGTTCTTTCTGTCTGTGCCTTGGAAACTATGATAAGATTTGGTACTCAGCTGCATGGGCTAGTTATTAGATGTGGGTTGGAGATGGATTCTCCCGTTGCTAACACATTGATTGCTATGTATGCAAAATGTCATTGTTTGTTTTATGCTCGGGGGTTGTTTGATACGACATCGCAAACTGATTTGGTTACCTGGAATGGGATGATTGGCGGGTATGTTCAAAATGGTTTTATGTTTGAGGCTTTGGATTTGTTTTCTAAAATGATATCAGAAGGTCTCAAACCAGACACAGTCACATTTGCAAGTTTCCTTCCATCAATTACTGAACTGGCAAGTATAATTGAAGGTAAGGAAATTCACGGTTATATTGTTAGACATGGTGTGCATTTGGATGTGTTTCTGAAGAATGCACTTATTGATATGTACTTCAAGTGCAGGGGTGTGGAGATGGCAAGAAATGTTTTCTACCATTGCACTGCGGTCGATGTTGTTATTTGCACAGCTATGATTTCAGGATATGTGCTTAATGGGATGAATATAGATGCCATAGAGATGTTCAAATGGTTGATTCGTGAGCACATGAAGCCCAATGCTGTAACACTGGCATGTACTTTGCCGGCTTGTGCTGGTTTGGTTGCTCTGAAATTGGGTAAGGAGTTGCATGGTTACGTCCTCAAAGCTGGTCTCGAAGGAAGATGTTATGTCGGAAGCGCAATAACAGATATGTATGCAAAATGTGGAAGATTAGATCTTGCTCATCAAGTTTTCATGAGAATGTCTGAAAGGGATGGTGTCTGTTGGAATTCAATGATTACAAGCAGTTCCCAGAATGGCAAACCAGAAGAGGCCATCGACCTTTTCCGCCAAATGGGAAATGAAGGAACGAAGTATGACGGTGTCAGTATATCAGCTGCTCTTTCGGCATGTGCAAATTTACCTGCACTCCATCTCGGGAAGGAGATTCATAGTTTCATGATCAAAAGTGCATTGCGCTCTGATCTTTTTGCTGAGAGTGCACTAATCGACATGTATGCTAAATGTGGAAACTTGGATTTGGCATGCCGTGTGTTTGACATGATGGAAGTAAAGAATGAAGTTTCATGGAATAGTGTCATTGCTGCATATGGAAACCATGGTCGCCTCAAAGATTCCCTTCTTCTTTTTCATGAAATGAAAGAAGAAGGATTTGAGCCTGACCATGTCACTTTTCTTGCCATAATATCTGCTTGTGGACATTCTGGGCAAGTTGAAGAAGGAAAGTACTTCTTTAATTGCATGACCGATTATGGGATTGTACCTCGAATGGAGCATTATGCATGTATGATTGATTTGTTTGGACGAGCTGGCCGTTTAGAAGAAGCATTCCAAATTATAAATAGCATGCCATTCAATCCAGATGCAGGTGTTTGGGGGACATTACTTGGAGCTTGCCGGGTCCATGGCAATGTTGAACTTGCTGAACTGGCTTCAAGACATCTTTTTCTCTTGGACCCACAAAATTCTGGCTACTACGTATTGCTGGCAAACGCACAAGCTGATGCCGGAAAATGGGATAGGGTTCTTAAAGTTCGAAGCATGATGAAAGAAAAAGGAGTACAGAAAATACCTGGTTACAGCTGGATTGAGGTGAATAACACCACCCATATGTTTGTTGCTGCGGACACTAGTCACCCAGAGTCTGGTCAGATTTATCAATTGCTGACGAATCTTCTTCTGGAGCTGAGAAAAGAGGGATATTCTCCTCGACTTTCCCTTCAAATGCACCCACAATCTATCGGGCTCAACAAACTAGTAGGAGAAAAAAAGTGTTAGACCTGTGTTTCCTGGGGAAGTATAGGCATTTTCTTTCCTCTGTGGTTATATGGTCTTTTAACCATAGGGCCTTATGGATGATATATTGGCACTACAATAACCTAAAGAAGACACCACAGCGATACCTTAGATTGATTCTTCTCATCCACCTGAAATGTAACATTATGAGAATAGGTTTTTGTTTTCATATTTTTATGCAGATCCTACAAGTATCTTGACGGCAGCATATTGTCACTTTGAGGGTTCACTACCTATTGTATCACTGCTATGCTGTAACAATAGAGAAAAAAAAATTTCTATTGTTCTTCTTCCCGAAAATCTCATGATTGTTTCTTAAACATGAATGAGATTTCACAGGCATTTACGCTTCTGCTGGGATTTGCCAATTCCCACTACATAATTCTGGTTGAAGTTGGGGTCCAAACTTTTCCTGCATGGTGATGAAAAATGGAGATACTAGGCACTAGGGCCATTGCCTAGTGGAGTGATAAAAGTGTTAACCAAATAATCATGAGGTTGTGGGTTGGAATGTTAGAAAAGCGGAAGGTTACATTTGTATCCAATCCCTCTTTTCCAGCACCCTCGAGTGACGGGGAGCTAATTTTGTCCGACCCTTCAACACAAGTATTAAAATCATTAAGGTCATGGACTTCGGAGACATTAAAATGTACGATGACAATATGTGAATCAATAAATGAAAGCCAGAGCCAACGGAGTGACATGATTTTTTTGGACCTTATATTAACTTTTCATGTTGGATATTTTCATTCATAAAACATACACGTGAAAAGATATTTTTATAGTGATACAACCCCTTTTAGCATTGATTGCGTTAGAAGGTTACTTAATCTCAGCATTCTTTGCCATCTTATATGTCAAAGGAGCTGTTACTCTACCTTTTATACCGCGTATGATCACTCTATCTGAATTCAGACTCTGGTATCAATTGTGCAGACCCTCGAAGTGATGATGCACCATAGCATTCCAATTTGTTATTATTTGGAAGCAAATCAGCTGCTTGGCTGGTGAAATTTGAATTGCGGTTAAATACCAAACCAAAAACTACTATTTTGATGGTGACACCAAATGCATAAGGATAGAACTGTACAGGGAGTGAAGTACTACAACTTGTTAAAGTTAGGGTGTCTGTTTTGACGGTTATGTATTCAAAGAAGAGGTCTTACTCTAAACAAGCTTCCTAGCTTTTCACTCCAACAAGGTTGCTAGTTTATAAGAAGAGGGGAAATAATGTTCAAACAAGAAGACTTTGGACAATGAAGTGAAAGATCTGTTATTATCTCAAGTATCTTACAAGTTGTAATTATTATCTCAAGTATCTTACAAGTTGTAAGTATGAACATCACCAAGCTATTGTATTTATAGTTTGTTCTGTCAATAAATTTGCTTTCATTCTGCTTTGCATCTTAAAATTTGTTTCATTATTTTGCTCCCTTATAGGTTATGCAACGGCAAATAAAGCAACCTTTGTCCTCTGTTTCGCTGAACAAGCAGCTCTAGATAAGGTAATGATTGTTAGTGGCCAATGACTCACCTTCAGCTTGCAGAATATTTTGCTTCTGTGATGCACTTCTTAAAATTTTAATAATGGGATTTCCCCAGTTTCACGTTTACGAGTCTGCAGTGATATCTGGATGGCATAGTCTTTTCAAGCTTGAGTGAATTTGATTGGTCAGTGTCTGGAACATTCACAATTGGCCATGCATTTACTGGTTTGCTCACGCTCGTTTATCTTGATCTTCCCTTTAACAAAGCACTTAAAGCTAGAACCTTGTGAGGATTGATCACTTTAAAATTCAGAAAGAGGCTAGCTGTGAAAAGGTATGCTATTTGTTGATAGTAGGATTCTTAGCCCTCACTGAAAACTGTGGTAATCATTGCCTAAATTGCATTTTTATGACTTATATTGTTTGTAGTAACAACAAATGCTAGTAATAAGCTGATTGAGAATCCTTAATACCATGTGTTTCCATCCTCTGTGATGATTTGGAAAGTTAAAAGTACACATTAAGCTGCAAGTTTCTGCATGAACTATAGCTCATGTTTGGTTGAATATAAATGTACTTCAGAGAAGGAAGACTGCTTCGTTGCATTGCTATAGAGTGGTATGTGATGTGTGCATGCGCTAGTGGTAATGTTGATCACATTTTTTGCATTGTCCTATTGCATTGTTTTTGTGATCCAAAATGTTTTAAGAGCAATGCTATTGAAACCTAATTTATTGACATAATTTGTTGACCAAATTAATAGTGACATTTGAATTCATTGTAGACTCCTTCAAACATTGAAACTTGATATTGATCTGATAATTTCTATAAAAGCACATCATTATGTCAGTAAATTAAGTCATTTTTAGGTCCAAATAATATTACTCATGTTTTAATTAGCCGGCTTTGAGTTGGGTGATTCATTGGACCTTTTATTCCATGCTAGTGAAGGAATTTGAGGAGTTTGGAAAGCATAAGAAAGGGGTGACCCTTTTGGCATTGGAAAATTTTTAAATAATATGGAAATGCTAACAATAACACTGAAGACAATCTATAATACTAAAAATCGAGTATTAATCTAGCAATATTTATATGTGAAATATTAATTTATTTTTTATTTTATTTTTTTTAATTACAAAATTTAAAATTAAAGTAAGTAGAGAAAATAAGAGGGAGGAGAAAGAGAAGGAAGAGATAGGTGTTGATTAAACCGATTAGGGCAGGTTATGATGTTTCATGTATTTTTAGAATCACCCCGTGCATTGTCAGATATCATTTGTCTTGGGTCATGTGTTTTCAAATAGCCTGGAATGTATTACCATTAGTTGTAGCGAGTGGGAAAAGTTCAGGAACACTCCAATGTAGAGGATGGATTTTGTCAGTAATTGTTTTTTTCTGTTTTCTTATTTTGCCTTCGAACAGCATGGAGGACCACATGAATGATTTCTAGTTTTCATAGACGTGCAAAAACCTCTAAGTTGATGTACGTGATTCCACCCACACAAAAAATAAGAGAGAGAAATTCTCTTTTGGATACTTTAAAAAAGGTCACGAATTCGTGTCGGATACCGATAATTTACGGACATATGATTGATACTTTTTTATTCGTATTTATAATTAAGTGATAAAATTTTAATTTTTGACTTGTATCCAACACTTTTTTTGCGATGTGTATGACTCCACTTTAGACTGTGTCTATTAATAAACAATAAATATGTGTTGATATGTGACTAACAACGTTTAAAAATGTGACTAATAAGTATATTATACTATGAGAGAATATATTATTATTAATATTATATATGTTAAAGTTATACTCAAAATATAATAATAAAAATAAAAGATGCATAAAAGCTTTAAATAAGAGGAATTAAAAAAATAAGAACAATCATTTAACTTAAATGTGTTTGATACACGTTATCTATAAAAAAAAATATTGTAATTATTTGACCATTATGATCTTTTAGTCTAAAAATTCATATTAAATGACTAGAAATAACATTTACTTATCATGAAATATTGATTTCTTCATGAATAGTATATCATTATAATTTGCTCCGAATTATATAATTTTATATATATATATATGTATATATTACACAATTATTAGTAGTGTGCCCTAAACGTTTCCGTGTTCTAATTTTTTAAAAAATGTCATGNTATATATATATATATATTACACAATTATTAGTAGTGTGCCCTAAACGTTTCCGTGTTCTAAATTTTTAAGAAATGTCATCTCTGCGTATCTGTATTGTCCCGTATTTGTGTCCGTGCATAGCTTTCAAATTTTAATGGTTGGAAATAGGAAATTTTCGTTTCTATAAATTTTAAAGAACTGATGATACTGGTCTTAAGCATTGACTTTAAGCTGTTTCAGGCCTACCGAAGGAAACACTTCATTTGATTACCTTACCAAGTTCACCATTGCAAACTGCTTTCAAAGCTAATGCTGCCTCGGCGTGAGATCTTAATCCCGAAGCTTCCTTATGGAAATATGCTTGTAGTATATGTAGAAAGAGCAAGGTAAGTTTCTGCTAGTCCATTGGTATAATTTATGTTACTATTTCTTCAGATCCATAGAGGAAAGCATAGGCTATATTTGTCATCCTATCATAAACCTTGTATTTAGTGTGGAAATGGTATTGGGTGGTGAAGGTGAAGTTGAAGTGAAATCCTCCTTCTACATGAAAATGACTATAATTTGGGAAGTCATCACTTCCAGAGTTTTTCTTATGTACATATGTAATGGGCTGGTGGATTTTGATGGACTAATCCTTATTTATAAAGTGGTAAGATTGTCATATTGACATTCAAGGGTGACTAACCAACTCTACTTCCTTTTCATATGTTAACACGAGATAAAAATTTTGGACATGAAAGATGCCTAGTACAAGCGCGTGTGCAAGACTCAAAGAAAGAACCCCATTCTGACCTTTTATGAGTTCAACATAGTGAGCACATATGATCTTCTAACAATGTTAGGAATTAATGATGTTAAAAACTCAACCGCGTGAGCTAGGTGCTTAAGCTAAGAAGATTAAGGCTTTGGGATAGTGATTTTGGTGAGAACAACGTGTTTGATCAGAGAGAGGTAGAGCCCGCTGCCTCTGCCCAATGCTATAGAAGTCGTAGATAGGGGTAATAGCTATAACATAAGGGAGAACACAAACAATACAATAGTTCACCGGCTGAAGAGCTCGACTAGCCTACTCTGATGGTATCTCTTAGTCCTTGGGGGCTTTTCTATTGCTTGGGGAAGAAGACAGAATTGCAGTTTTTTTTTTTTTGTGTAATTACAATTGATGTCTTTGTAAATGGATGATTGTCCTTGTATTTATACCCGCATGTGGGGTGGTACTCACGTCATCATCACATGGTCCCCAATTTATTAGAATTTTATTAGGGGAATATTTTGCCTTTAGAGGTTTCATTCCCTATATATGATGTGGCCATCTGGAATATGTTGAGGTGGCATTGACACCCCTTTCTAGGTCTGGATATGTTGTGATCATTCATAACTGTGAGAGGTCGTACAGCTTGAATCAACACATTATTCCTATGGATAGCTCATTGATAAAGGAGCTCGATTTATTTTCCTGACCCGAGTAGGAAATACTGAACTTCTTTATGACGTGATATGGACGACGTGGTCACCTTCATCTAAGGTCATACGNTTTCAAAGCTAATGCTGCCTCGGCGTGAGATCTTAATCCCGAAGCTTCCTTATGGAAATATGCTTGTAGTATATGTAGAAAGAGCAAGGTAAGTTTCTGCTAGTCCATTGGTATAATTTATGTTACTATTTCTTCAGATCCATAGAGGAAAGCATAGGCTATATTTGTCATCCTATCATAAACCTTGTATTTAGTGTGGAAATGGTATTGGGTGGTGAAGGTGAAGTTGAAGTGAAATCCTCCTTCTACATGAAAATGACTATAATTTGGGAAGTCATCACTTCCAGAGTTTTTCTTATGTACATATGTAATGGGCTGGTGGATTTTGATGGACTAATCCTTATTTATAAAGTGGTAAGATTGTCATATTGACATTCAAGGGTGACTAACCAACTCTACTTCCTTTTCATATGTTAACACGAGATAAAAATTTTGGACATGAAAGATGCCTAGTACAAGCGCGTGTGCAAGACTCAAAGAAAGAACCCCATTCTGACCTTTTATGAGTTCAACATAGTGAGCACATATGATCTTCTAACAATGTTAGGAATTAATGATGTTAAAAACTCAACCGCGTGAGCTAAGAAGATTAAGGCTTTGGGATAGTGATTTTGGTGAGAACAACGTGTTTGATCAGAGAGAGGTAGAGCCCGCTGCCTCTGCCCAATGCTATAGAAGTCGTAGATAGGGGTAATAGCTATAACATAAGGGAGAACACAAACAATACAATAGTTCACCGGCTGAAGAGCTCGACTAGCCTACTCTGATGGTATCTCTTAGTCCTTGGGGGCTTTTCTATTGCTTGGGGAAGAAGACAGAATTGCAGTTTTTTTTTTTTTGTGTAATTACAATTGATGTCTTTGTAAATGGATGATTGTCCTTGTATTTATACCCGCATGTGGGGTGGTACTCACGTCATCATCACATGGTCCCCAATTTATTAGAATTTTATTAGGGGAATATTTTGCCTTTAGAGGTTTCATTCCCTATATATGATGTGACCATCTGGAATATGTTGAGGTGGCATTGACACCCCTTTCTAGGTCTGGATATGTTGTGATCATTCATAACTGTGAGAGGTCGTACAGCTTGAATCAACACATTATTCCTATGGATAGCTCATTGATAAAGGAGCTCGATCTATTTTCCTGACCCGAGTAGGAAATACTGAACTTCTTTATGATGTGATATGGACGACGTGGTCACCTTCATCTAAGGTCATACATGAACGACTTGGACACCTTTATCTGAGGTTGTACATGAACGACTTGGACATCTTTATCTAAAGCTGGGTGTGCAACTGAAAGTCAGCAGATAGACCTCTAAGATTATGGCATTGTGCAGGCGTGGGGTGTAGAAGGCGCCTCATTTTTCAAACCGTGCAACTTACATTGAGCCACGTGGAGAGGCGTACTGTCATATTCAATGCACACAACGATGAGAAAGAACTGCCAAAAATTTATTTATTTAAACCTTTCTCAAATTCGAATTCTCTCTTTACCAATATTCTTCAAAATACTAGAATCCCAAATTGATTTCTCTTTCCTACATATTCTTCGCTATCCCTAGAGAGTTCTTGTGAGATTTGAGAGGAATTGATTGAAGACTCAAACGATTCAGGGGGTTTCGGGCTTAGGTTCCTTGGAGCTCGTCTCATTCGTGTCTAAGTTCTTCATCTTCTTTTTGCCATCACTGTCCTCTAGGTAAACTTTTATTCTTTCCTTTAACTTTTTTGCATCAATCTTGGATCGTTTTAATCCTCGGTGGTGGTCTCAGGGTCTTTATTTTTTAGTGCTCCATTTTTTCTACTTTAGGGGTTTAGGTAGGTCTCTAGGAGCTCTTCCCCACTTCTTGGACCCTTGGGCCATAGCTAGGGTTTTCTTGTTCTTTCATTGGTGTCTAGATTCTCTCTCGATTGAGGGCTACTTCGTGAGTGTCTCTCAGATTCCCTCTGAGTTAAGTAATTCGTACCTCCGAGCTTAGATATGTCTGTGTCTTCTTCTACTACTAGGTCTTCCATCTCTACAATGTATAGGGGTGGAGGGAATGAAATTGAGGTCAAGTCATCCTCTTAACGAGGGGCGATAGACTTGGAAGGGGACAAGGAGCCTTTATCGGTCGGACGTCACATGGAGAGTTCTTCTCAACATGAGGCTCATCTTCTAGATCCTTATCTCCTCCTCTAGAATATGCTTGAGGAGAGAATCTCCAGCCAGGGGTAATAGAAAAAGGACCCCCAAGAGAAGAGTTTCCAAATCTTCCTAAGCTTCTCCGTCTGGCGAGGTCAATACCTCGGGCAGGTCTTGAGACTTATAGGGGCCAACTGTGACTTTGAACCAGAGCTGCATAATTGAGTTTAGGCTTCAGTCTCTGGCTAGTTGTTACCAATTTCTAAGGGGGTTGTGGTCTACCCTCCTTCAAATGTTGATCGCTTTAATGTAAGACCCCATACTAGAATTAAATAAAAATAATATCATCTTAATATTTGTCCTAGAATGAATAAAAATATTTTAAAAACCTTAAATTGTTGTTAAAAGATTGATCATGAAATTTGAGTTTTGGGCAAATTAACTTTTGGGTCAAACTTAGTTTCAAACATGTTTAATTTTAAAAAAGGTGGTTAAGTAATTTTGTAAATATTTTTCGATCAAAATAAGGTTTCCAATGAATCCGAAAGGTTGAAAAACATTGGAAGTATTCTGGAGTTAAAACCTATTTTGGAGGGGATTTGGATAGNTCCTAGTTGTAGGTGCCCCTTCTTCCCATGAGACCTAGAAAGAGCACTTCCTTTATTTTTCTGGTGATGCTTGTGAGGTGGATGTGAATGATGTCACCGATGTTCTCTATGTACCTTAGATTTGGGGAAAACACTAGATCTTGGGTGAGTGTCGAGCTTCCAACATTTCTTCTCTTTTATTGTGATCTATGTGTTATGATCTTTCCTTCTTTGAATTTATAAGGTATCGACCTGAGTTGAACCATTCTAAGGAGCTTAGGGTTACAAGGATTGAGAAATGTATAACGAGAAGTTTCAAGGAGCTCGTGACTTCATAGAAGTTAGCTAGGTACGAGCTCAGCCCTCTAATTGTTGAAAAGCTTCCAGCTCCCTCTCTTATTGTCCTTTCTGTTGAAGAGGAACTTCCACTTAAAATCCACCAAGATCTTGTTGGTAAGTGTCTCAACACTTTGTTTATTTTTTTCTTTCGATTTTTGTTTCTCCTTGTACTTTCCTGATCTTCCTATGATTTCTTTTTCATATCTTGATCCTATGGCTCCTTAGCTTAGCACTGTGAATGAAGCTATTGCTAGGAGGAAAGAGAAGCAGGGACAACTAACCAAGCTCTTGGACCCCGACTCTCCATGATCTTCCTGAGAAAACCTCTGACTTGACTTCTGCTCAAACCTAGGATCTGGGGGTCACCCCTTTTGGGGAAGGGGATCTTCTAGCTATTGATCCTTCCCAAGCGGTCTCTAAGGAGCCTAGCATTCTTCCTTCTATGCCTTCAGTAATTTTGGGGGTAGCCCCTTCTATTCCTCCAAGGCTGACTTCAACTCTTACTGCGATTCATGAGAGTTCTCTTATGTCCAATGCTTCTCTGATTGCCACCAAGATATTGAACATTATATCTCGGGCAGACATACTCAAGTTTGCAACATTCAGTGCTAATGATGAGGTCGCAGATGATCTTCAATATCTTGCTACTATATGATGAGCATGTAATATTCCATATTTAACGGCCTCATTACTTGAATTTTAACTTAACTTTGCATTTAATTACTTAGAGTTAGTCGAATTTATGAATAATGTGAAAATTTTGATGTTGTAGGTAATCATAGTGTAAATGATGACTTTCGGAACCCTGCAACTAAGTGTGAATAGGTGGTGAAGAGATGGACACATTACATGAGAATTGGGAGGCTTTAAAGTGAAAGAAATCAACTAGATAGTGGTATTTGGTTTCACAAGCACCGGTATCTAAGCCAACTTGAATTTTTGTACTGCCATCCTCACCATTTGGTATTGGTACCTCATTTTTCCCCATTTTGACCATGATCCACTTTGAATTTGAAAAATTTCAAAACATAAAAGTTATAGATCTGGATATTCTCTATCGTTTGTCAAAATTTCAGCTCAATTCAACGGTCGGATCAAAGGTTATGACAAATCTATGAAATCTAGTCCTGAGCTAGCATCCCCCTTATGACCTACTGGTAGAAGACAACCAAAACCTACTGGATAAAAATCTTACCAGAAATCAAATGGTAGGTTTTGCTCACTAAAGTAAAACCTACTAGTAGGTTTGGGCATCGACCTACCAGTAAGTTTTGCTGAAAAGCGCCAAATTCTGTAACTCATCCTCCACTTGCTTGGGGTGCCCACCATTACTTCTCCCACACATTTCCTGACATTGTCTACATACAACCATGCCTACAAGACCTAGTTGCTGACTTTTAAGGATGGAGGATGGGAAAGGAGGAGAGAGAAGGAGGAGGCATGGTGGGTTGCAAGCTAGGCTTGTCCTAGCCTGTTTAAGCCATAAACTTATCTCCCATTGATGGGAGGCCTGCACACACATGCTAGAGGAGCCCTATGAACAAAATTGCAGAGGTCTTACACCATATATTCAGATACACACTAGCTTTTGAAAAATAGGAGGCTACCTAAGCTTAGGAGTAGTTTTAGAGATAGAAAGCTTAAGGAAGAAGATGAATTTAGAGAGAGAAAGCTGGATTTTCATATTTTTTTCACTATTTTCAATGTTGTAAGCCTTAAATTACTTGTAATTNAGAGATAGAAAGCTTAAGGAAGAAGATGAATTTAGAGAGAGAAAGCTGGATTTTCATATTTTTTTTCACTATTTTCAATGTTGTAAGCCTTAAATTACTTGTAATTTTCCCCATTTCCACTTTCAACTCTTTCATTTAACTTGTATGCAAGTTTAGCTAGTTGTTTTAGCAATTCAAGTTTTACATTTANTTTCTTCGTTTTGGCATTTAAGTTAGGTCTTAGGTCATCTATCCCTCAAGGATGTCTACTAATTTCTTGGGAACCATGGTTGGTCTTTTAGTCCTTTGAAGGGAAAATGACCTAGGTGAAGCTCTTTTTATTGTCGAGCTCCTTCACTACTTCAATGTCAAGTGCTCTCCTACGGATGACTTCTTCTATATCTCCAAACGGGTCAAAGTCCTAGTTGTAGGTGCCCCTTCTTCCCATGAGACCTAGAAAGAGCACTTCCTTTATTTTTCTGGTGATGCTTGTGAGGTGGATGTGAATGATGTCACCGATGTTCTCTATGTACCTTAGATTTGGGGAAAACACTAGATCTTGGGTGAGTGTCGAGCTTCCAACATTTCTTCTCTTTTATTGTGATCTATGTGTTATGATCTTTCCTTCTTTGAATTTATAAGGTATCGACCTGAGTTGAACCATTCTAAGGAGCTTAGGGTTACAAGGATTGAGAAATGTATAACGAGAAGTTTCAAGGAGCTCGTGACTTCATAGAAGTTAGCTAGGTATGAGCTCAGCCCTCTAGTTGTTGAAAAGCTTCCAGCTCCCTCTCTTATTGTCCTTTCCATTGAAGAGGAACTTCCACTTAAAATCCACCAAGATCTTGTTGGTAAGTGTCTCAACACTTTGTTTATTTTTTTCTTTCGATTTTTGTTTCTCCTTGTACTTTCCTGATCTTCCTATGATTTCTTTTTCATATCTTGATCCTATGGCTCCTTAGCTTAGCACTGTGAATGAAGCTATTGCTAGGAGGAAAGAGAAGCAGGGACAACTAACCAAGCTCTTGGACCCCGACTCTCCCTGATCTTCCTGAGAAAACCTCTGACTTGACTTCTGCTCAAACCTAGGATCTGGGGGTCACCCCTTTTGGGGAAGGGGATCTTCTAGCTATTGATCCTTCCCAAGCGGTCTCTAAGGAGCCTAGCATTCTTCCTTCTATGCCTTCAGTAATTTGGGGGTAGCCCCTTCTATTCCTCCAAGGCTGACTTCAACTCTTACTGCGATTCATGAGAGTTCTCTTATGTCCAATGCTTCTCTGATTGCCACCAAGATATTGAACATTATATCTCGGGCAGACATACTCAAGTTTGCAACATTCAGTGCTAATGATGAGGTCGCAGATGATCTTCAATATCTTGCTACTATATGATGAGCATGTAATATTCCATATTTAACGGCCTCATTACTTGAATTTTAACTTAACTTTGCATTTAATTACTTAGAGTTAGTCGAATTTATGAATAATGTGAAAATTTTGATGTTGTAGGTAATCATAGTGTAAATGATGACTTTCGGAACCCTGCAACTAAGTGTGAATAGGTGGTGAAGAGATGGACACATTACATGAGAATTGGGAGGCTTTAAAGTGAAAGAAATCAACTAGATAGTGGTATTTGGTTTCACAAGCACCGGTATCTAAGCCAACTTGAATTTTTGTACTGCCATCCTCACCATTTGGTATTGGTACCTCATTTTTCCCCATTTTGACCATGATCCACTTTGAATTTGAAAAATTTCAAAACATAAAAGTTATAGATCTGGATATTCTCTATCGTTTGTCAAAATTTCAGCTCAATTCAACGGTCGGATCAAAGGTTATGACAAATCTATGAAATCTAGTCCTGAGCTAGCATCCCCCTTATGACCTACCGGTAGAAGACAACCAAAACCTACTGGATAAAAATCTTACCAGAAATCAAATGGTAGGTTTTGCTCACTAAAGTAAAACCTACTAGTAGGTTTGGGCATCGACCTACCAGTAAGTTTTACTGAAAAGCGCCAAATTCTGTAACTCATCCTCCACTTGCTTGGGGTGCCCACCATTACTTCTCCCACACATTTCCTGACATTGTCTACATACAACCATGCCTACAAGACCTAGTTGCTGACTTTTAAGGATGGAGGATGGGAAAGGAGGAGAGAGAAGGAGGAGGCATGGTGGGTTGCAAGCTAGGCTTGTCCTAGCCTGTTTAAGCCATAAACTTATCTCCCATTGATGGGAGGCCTGCACACACATGCTAGAGGAGCCCTATGAACAAAATTGCAGAGGTCTTACACCATATATTCAGATACACACAAGCTTTTGAAAAATAGGAGGCTACCTAAGCTTAGGAGTAGTTTTAGAGATAGAAAGCTTAAGGAAGAAGATGAATTTAGAGAGAGAAAGCTGGATTTTCATATTTTTTTCACTATTTTCAATGTTGTAAGCCTTAAATTACTTGTAATTTTCCCCATTTCCACTTTCAACTCTTTCATTTAAGTTGTATGCAAGTTTAGCTAGTTGTTTTAGCAATTCAAGTTTTACATTTAGGTATTTGCCTTCAAACTTTGTATTTTGGTTATGAATGGTATTTCTCTCGTAGTTTAACTCTTTTCTTGCATTAATACTAGTTCCATGTTTCATTTCTTCATCATGTCTCTTTATATTATGCATGTCTTTCCTTTTATTATGAGTAGATAGATTTTTAGTTGGCTAATCCAAGAGAGATTTTCTGTTGGGTATGTGAAATCGACTCTTGTTCATTCTTCCTCGTAGTAAAAGGTGGATAAGTTTGACTAGATTGAGTGCGGACGTAGTTGTGAGCTCTTGATACACCGTAAACTTGTCACGGGGTATGCTTGAGCCCTCATTTCTATTTTAATCCCTCGCTTTCTACGAATCAATCGAACACCTATGCACCATTGGAAGAATGTTTTGAGTTGATTTGGCATTCCCATAGGAATGACTTTTTTGGATTAGCCAACTTTATTTTTATTGCATTTTACCAAAAATCTTCACTCACTAAAACACAACCTCAAAAGATTTTATACTTTTTCATTTATTACAAATCACTTTCACACAATTCACCTTCTTTTCTTGAGCAGACGACCTTGGAATACCCATTCCAAGTAAAACACGACACTCGAAAGCCTCTCTATGCTTAAAGAGCACTTTTGTACACACANTTGCATTTTACCAAAAATCTTCACTCACTAAAACACAACCTCAAAAGATTTTATACTTTTTCATTTATTACAAATCACTTTCACACAATTCACCTTCTTTTCTTGAGCAGACGACCTTGGAATACCCATTCCAAGTAAAACACGACACCCGAAAGCCTCTCTACGCTTAAAGAGCACTTTTGTACACACGCACACATTTTCATCCACACACACGTTTTTCCCATTTCTTGCATGATATCCGAGGGAGAGTTACACTCACCTATATGTATAAGTCATACACACAACTGGAATCATGATAGGAGATTAGGAATGACGGAATAAATTCAAACATTTTTGGCGCTATTGCCGGGGAAGGCTAAGCTTTGAGTTCGAAGGTGATTTTGGGTGACATAAGTAAGTCTCGTGATTTTCATTATGGGCCAAGATATGTCGTCTCATTTGTAAATAATTTGTTGGAGTTTGTGTTATGTTTTCTATTTTTTATGAAAATGTGTTAAATGCCCCAAATTTTGAAAACGTGTGCGAGATTTGTGAAGAGTATGGACATATCACTAATGAATGCCCATTAAATTATCCGATTCAATACTTTGCATGTGAAGGATCAATTTCAATATTGGCCCCTNATGTCGTCTCATTTGTAAATAATTTGTTGGAGTTTGTGTTATGTTTTCTATTTTTTATGAAAATGTGTTAAATGCCCCAAATTTTGAAAACGTGTGCGAGATTTGTGAAGAGTATGGACATATCACTAATGAG